GAGCGTAGATCATAAAAATAATATTTATAATTGCCAAGTGCGATTTATCGCCGCGCAATACCAAACAATCCTTCTCTCTCGCTCGGTCCGCAGCGAAATAAATTTCGCACCTTTTAATTATGAATTTGCAAAACACACCGAAAACAAGTCCGCACGCACTGCAGTCCGAGCGTATAAGTGTATTTTAATTAGCTGAATTATATGTTCATGAAACGGCAGTTGCAAATAATCGGGCGATCCGCAATTTACATGCATACTTTACTTCCTCTCATTACGAAAATTTCACTCGACCGACGCTCCCGTTTTACGATCTCGGGTAATTTATTCTCCGAAAGAGAGAAGTACGAACGCCTGTTCCATGCAAATGCTCGTCGGTATATTTGCATGCATTATGCTCAGCGCCTATGGAAATATTTCCATGGATAAGGTTCTGCGACGAGAGTGCATGTACATTTCTGTTTTATGCGCATACCATCCGCCGACCAACAAATTACATGGCACGATGCTTATCAGTAGCGTTTGCATTTTGCGTCACTGGCCCTGTGTTTCCTCTGCACCACATTGTCCCCTCATTTGTCAAATTTTAGAAATTAGTAACTTTTTCTTACCAGACTTTTGAAATTTTTAAATTTGCTGAATTTATAACCGTGTAGGATTATTAAATTTTACATGAATTAATTTTTTTAAATGATTTTAAGCGAAAAAAATATTAGGTTCAAAGGTTCTTTCTAATAATTATTTGCCAATACAATATTAAAACAAATTAAATTATTCCCCTCCCTTATATATTCCTTAAGATTTTAACAAAAAATTTCCGCTAGCTTTGACTCATCCCATCCTATTTTTGTCTTAAGCCAAAATCTCTCTTTTTTCTGTTGGCATTATATATTTCCCCGTTGGAGAAAATAATTTATCTTGTCGAGGGGGACATCATCATTTCGCATGTTGAAAAATTTGGAACGAGTCAGTCGGTTGGTGAGCAACTTGCCTGGCCGGGTCATTTACCGATTCACTGCCTCTCCGATGATGATGCTGGGTCTTATCCCACCCTATATTATATCGACTGCTCAGCTTTTTTCAGACTCCTCTGGCAAGTGGTGCCGGCGACGCTTCAAAACTAGAGCCGAAGTGGTTTTTGCCTGCTCTGATAATTTGCCCGGCTTCCTTTTCCTTCAGAGCTAAACTTTTTTTAGGTAAAAAAAAATCAAATCCAATATTTATTCCGAGCTAAATAGAAATTCATATCTGGGTAAAAGCAAAAAAGTCGAAAATTACGACGTGCGGCAGGCAACCTGCTCTGCTTTCCAGTCACTCCGGTTGCATAGAACCCCAAAAATCTTTTCTCTCTCAAACGCACAAAAAAACTCCTCTTCTTTTCATCCTCTCGTATTTTAAGATACGAGAGAGACGATGAGATGGAAAGATCATTGTTGGTGGTTGTCACCTCTATATATGTATATTGCGAACAAAAGCGATTAAAGGCGGCTGCAGAAGCAGCTCCTCTACGCGCGGCCCTTTTTTGTCCCAGCTCTCTCTGCGTCTGCCATAAAAGTTGTAAATCATTCCACGTCATAAAGGCAGCGAGAGAATGGCGAGGGTGGTGCCGTGAGATGGTGACATTCATCACGCGAACACTGACACGTACGTGAAAAGCAATGATGCTATAGAGGCTGTGGGATGTTTAATCAAATCCGCCACAGAGACAGACCATTGTTGCAGGTTTCTGCCATCGAATCGTGCACACTTTGTTGCGTCGAAATGGATTCGAGGTCTCATCGTTTCATGTTTTTGATCCATTTAACACTTGCAACAATTTTAAATTAATTTAAATAAAAACATTATTAAATATTTTTAACAGGTTTAAAATTGTGTAATTTATCTTTTACATATATTTTTATATATACTAGTTTATTGATTATAGTTTATTTAAAAATTTATTAATTGTTACTGAACTGTTTTAACGTTTTACCCGTTTTGATTCATATCTTGTGTACAAATATTACACAATTTCAAATTCGTATTAAATTTAGAATAAATAATGAGTATAAATATCATGCCGTGGGTATTGTCCTAATCTCAAAATTAGAGAATAAATTTAATTTTTGGTTATTTGTTCATTGAATTGAGAATAATTTTTTATTAACATAATTTACATAATATAAAATATAAGAACTTGATTAAAACCATCAAACTCATTAAATTAAGTATCATCAAACATTTTAAAAACAGACAATTTTTTAGGCTTCCGACAATTTTTTTGCGTTATGTCCCTTTATTCAGCTAGTCGTTTCCGAACCACTCTATAAATCCAAATTAATGCTTTAGCATGAGCCAAGAAAATTGCTTCTGGCGCTCGTCCAGTAATCAATGAGGCGAGGAGAATAATTTTTAATGCGATTGCTAATTTTCATTGAGCAGCTCGGTTATTAAAAATATAATTTAATAAAACCCAAGCACATTGGAACAAGAATTAATCTATTTTCAAAGAAATAGAATCAATTTAATTAAAATTAAAAATGGTCTCTTTTTTACTTGACGTTTAGAGAGTTTGGAATTCCCATAATGAACATATCTTGAAGAGATCAAATGGCGCAAGTTTCGTTTGAGCAGCGCACCGACGATCAATGCTTGGCTTTTCCTCTAATCGTGGAACTGCTCAGAGAGACCAAGTGGAATTCTCATATTATTGGCCGCTTTGATGAGACCGACCATCGAGGTTATTGCGGGAAAAGGAAAAGAAGAGGTTTGCGGTTAAAACTCGAGGCTTTTCATGTGACAAAATAAGTAGCTGGAGCAAAATAAAATGCAGAAATGAATTCAAAAGCAGAACATGCAATTTTTTTCTTGATAATATTTTTTTTTAATAAATGAGATCAAAAGTTAAAAACTGAAAAATTATTTAAAAGTGAGAAAATTAAGAAACTCAATCAGTAAAGAATTTCATCAAATATTAAAACTGCGCCATTCAATCAGAAATATAAAAGTAACAATAATATTCAAAGTTCAATTTATTTGTCATTTTATTGTTGCAGCAAAGTAGGCCATTTCGTTTTATTCCCCGCGCCAAATCCGCAGCGGTGGAAATATTATTGTTATTGTTCGGGTAATTCAATCGAAGGCGCATTGCCTGCTTGCGCAACAAAATTACACCGACGAGTGTGAAGGAAAGAGCAATATGTGCGCATGGAATGGCAAATAAATCGCATAAAAGTCTTCTTCATTCCCGACGGAGACGAGAGGTCACTGCTGAGGTCCCAGGAATCAAATGCAATTTGCATTGCAGTCTCTCTCTTTCTGCCCCCGATTGCGGCGTCCGTCCGTACTCGAAGCCCCAGAGGCATTTGCAGCTGCAGTCGAGCGAAATGCATTGCGCGCTGCTGACTCGTCAACTCTCGCAATGCGGATGCTAAATTTGATAAACCAAGCAATCAAGTACCAGTGGCACAAATTTTATGGGGAAAAAGGCGGGAGAAGTAATTTTAGTTGCAAACTATGCGTGATATTTAAAAATCCTCATTAAATTTAACTTCTTTTTTTAATAAAAATTTTATTGAATAGTTAAATAGCTGATTGAAAATTTTGTTTCAATAGCTTATTATTTATGGCCACACAGCAGGACTCCATCAATGATACACACACGCAATTAAAACTAATTAATAATATAAAACAAAAAAATATGATTTTATTGATGTTCAGCTGAAAATAAAGAGGAAAAAATTGTCATTGTTGCTAAACTTTGTACCTGAAATTTTTTGTTCATTAAATTAAGGAATCCTTATTGACGTAGTCAAATCAAGTCTTTACAACAATGATTGTTAAATTTTCCAATAATTGATAAAATATTTCCTATTGTTGAAAAGACTTGATTTGACTATGTCAATAAGGAGGCTATAATTATAAATTTTTTTCAATGAAATACTATATTATTTTACAGTTTATCGTAAATTTTTCTCGGTCTTGCAGAGTTTTTGATATTTCTTGCTCATGAAATAAGATTGCGAAACGTGACTGATTGTAAAAATAATAGGTCAATCTCTAAAAAAAATAGCTTTAAAACTAGTGTTCTTCTTATCTTTGCAATTATTAACTCTAAAGTAAAATAAAATCAGCAAATTAATGTAGTTTTGGATGTTTAAAAAGCATAAAGTGTACATCTTATTTACTTGTGATAACCTTTTTTCTAATTTAATCAATTTTATATAAATTTGGTACTGAAAAAATTGCAAAAAAATTAAATGACTTCAAACAATACAAATAAAAATAAATTTTTTCAGCTTTGATATATTAATTTTTTTTCTCACCATTAATTTTAGTGAAAGAATCTTGATAATAATAATAAATAAGTATCTGCATAAAAAAAGAATTCTTATTTTTGCGTTTTTTTTTTCAATTTCAAACGAAAACATAATATTTTACTTGAAATAAAAAAATGCATTAACAAATGACGTTTTTGGACATAAATTCAAATCCTCTATAAAACTAACTCCTTGGTGCGGTTTTTTTCATGGCTTCCAGGAGAGGGTTGAACTGGCGACGTTGCTGTCTTGACTGCGTGCGAGGTGAATTATTAGCCGAGGCGCTGCGGAACGGCTCATATTTTGCGGCCTTATTGCCCCAGTAATGGCAGCGAGGAGGGCACACAGCGCACTATCGCCGGTCCTTATGAAAGGAGACGTTAAATCTATTTGATGGTGCAGACCCTGCACGTCTGATCTCCCGAGCAGTCAAAAATTGGAATATAATTTAAAAGAGAGAGAGAGCCGAGCGTATAAAAGAGTCTAAGGAAGAAAAATGACCGTGGTGAAAAATTTCCTCCGTAAAATATATTTCGCAGGTGGTGCACCTTTTTCCTAAAATTTTCCACCAACTAAAGTACATCGCCGGTCTATGCGAACATATTACCTTGTTGCTTTTTTCTACGGAGATCCAAGTAACAAAAATTTCATTCCGTAGAGATTTCTGGAGATTGAAAGCAAAATGCTTTGTGTTATGTATTAAAATCTTTTATTTTCTCAATAAATCTTTTTTATACACTAATATTTAAATTACACATAGGAGTTGTACAAAACATTTGATAAATATCAATAGTACTGTTTCTGATAATTTATATGATAAACTGTTGAACCCTGGTTTTCATTAAATAACGCCTAACGGCCGAGAGCGCTTATTTTTTCATGCAAATCTCGGGCGCAGAACAATATATTCAGCAACTCAGCACATTCGAAAGAAAAATTTGGCTCGGGTACACCGTTTTATTTTTACAAAGTGATATGTACTTGCGTGTCACTCAGGCAGAGTTTTGCTTTTCTCTCAAATGGCCAAAATCATCATTTTTTTATTATTTCTCTCCAGGACAACTATGCACGTGTCAGACAGATTTTCAAATATATGGCACAGTTTACATGTGAGTTGAAAGAAGACAGCGATTTTTTTTTTAATATATTGAAACACATCATGACGCGCAAGGGCGAAATTCTCCATTTTGCGAACTAATAAAATGAAATAAAATTTTCATGCATTCTGGAATTCAGGACATTCAACAGAAAAAAGATTACAATGAGAGCTAAAAACATTTGGAAAATCAACATTCAAGAGAGAGCGACCAGAAAATTCCCATGAATAGCGTGTAAGAGAAGATTTTTGAGCAAAAACAAGTATATATATTTTATCTCACGGACGCACGCACCTCACCCTTTCAGACACACATTCGAATCGGTCCCTTTGATCAGCAACCCCCATTCTCATCAGCACTATATATACTTTTCTTTCTCTCCGCGCCGCCATCAGCTCTACAAGTCTATGTAATAAAGATTCATCACCGTTGAAGATAAGGCACTTGAGTTTAGGATCATTTCTCTGCATTTCCGATGCCGTCAGCGGCCGTAAATCATTCATCGATTCCCTCGGAAACGGAGAGAGACGGGGGGACACGCAGAAAAGGACAAGAGCTGATTGCGGGGACCAGCGGTGCATAATTTAATTATTTTCTCGAAACTCAGGGAGAGAAACAAGTGAGTTGGACCTTAACCTGGCTGGAATTGCAACTTTTGATCCCTCGTCAAAGTTGAATTGAACACTACACAGTAACGGTTTTGCTATTTACACTTTGAATTTTGAATAAATCTCTGCAGAGGGCAGTGCAAAAATCTGAGCTAGAATGCGAAATTCGGTGTCAGTTTGAAATAAAGAAACTCCCAAGTTTTAAAAATTAACAATCCTTTTTGATAATAAAATGACCAGAGACACCTTTCAAGCCGAACCACAATGGTCGGTTGGCAAGGGGTTATGGATTTTATAACAAAAAAATCAGGCGAAAAGAACATATAATTTGACGGATTTTGGCGTGGAAAATTTTTGGATAAGTAAAAAGTTTCCTGCAGTAGTTTCAACTTAAAAATTTAATATCTCAGGTTCTACTTCAGATACAGAATTCCGGCTAGAACCAGAAAATTTCTTTTTACCTCCCAATCAACCCTGAAAGGATAAACAATTGAGAGGTCGAAGGTAAATGTCATTTTCAAAACACCAAACATGCACTAAACGAATTCTAGCAAAAATTTGCCACCTACAATTAGGCTGAAACTATTTTCTAAGATAGTCCTGACATGCGGAAAAAACAATTCAGAATGGCATCTTTTTTTAGATAATTTATAAAAAAAAAAAAATCACAAATGCAAATAAAAGGTGCAATTTGCTCATTTGCCGATGACTAGAAATTTATTTTGAGAAAGTACAAATTTAATATGAGTAATTTATTTTCTGAAGATTCTTGCTTAAATTTTAAAAAAATATCAAAAAATATAAATATTTATTTCTGGCCATTGACGAAATGTGGAGTTTTCTAGTTTTTTTTTTGTTTTACAATTTGAATCATAAAAACAGGTTTTTCTGAATATTTAATATGTTTATTTTCCTACATAATAAGACCAGCTAAGAAATAATTTTGGCCCAATCGGAGATGGAATATTTTTGCTTAAACTTTTTGTGCCCCTAGAAAATTACCTTGACCTCTGATCCATTTGACCTACCTGGGTTGAAGAGTAAATAAACAAATTTTAATTCTAGCCGCATTTCTGTATCTGGAATAAAAGCCGAGATGTTACATTTTTAAGTAGCGTTTTTCCGGGAAAGTTTTAAATTTTTTCCACACCAAAATCTGTGAAATAATGTGTGCTTTTTACATGATTTTTTGTAAGCAAATCCAAGCGACCTTTGCTTTGGCTTGAAAGGTGTGCAGAATAAAAAAAACATTCACTCCGAAGGTACCAAAAATAGAAACTTTGCACTCCCCCTGCCGTGTCATGAAATTCTGGATTAGTCTGCTATTGAATAATTATTTACACATGAAAGGTTTGTTTTAATTAATTAATATACTCTCTCATTATCATTAATATATAAAACTTCTGGCGCTGGTTCTGCATCTCAAATCTTTTCCGAGTACAAAAACTTTAGAAAACCTATTTCTTACATTAAAATCTAACAGTTTTAGTCTCTGTGTTTAACCGCCGTAACAACACTGCTCGTTTTTTTAATTAAAATTACATATCACACTCCTCTGAATACCGGATTAACACTAACCACCGGCGGCCTCAATGATAATTTTCCATAATTTCGGAGCACCACAAGTCTTGTCTCAACCAACTTGATAGGAACACAATTTGTGCAATCAATCGAGAGTCTGGCAATTGACTAATTTTCAAAAATTTGCAAGTCACACAGGTCATCCGCCTGTGAGGAAGACGACGCCGACCGCCACCAGGGTGGCCATCAGGCCGATCGAACTGTGCCGGATGCCGCCTCCGCCGCCCCCGCCGGCCCCTCCGACCGCCCTGCTGAGCGCACTCGCGTGGCAGTTGAGGTCCTCGGGGTAGAGATCGATCATGGGCGTCTGCTGGCCCGTCCGCGGGTCCGTGCAGACCGCCTCGCGCGCCATCGCCTGGATCTGCTGCGCCCCTTCCAGCGCCACGGTGTGGATTTGCACGGTTTCCCGCAACCAGCGTCGCAGCCAGTGGCCCAACCACACCAGGCTGCAGTCGCACGTCCACGGATTGCCCTTCAGGATGAGCCCCTCTGAAACACACAAATAGAAAATTTTTAGACGTTTTAATATGAAAATGTATGTTTCATTTTATGAAGTTTAAAAAAGTTTGTCTATTGAATAAAATATAAATTGATAAAATTTAGAATAATAGATTCATTTTGTTTATTATTAAAATTTTGTACAAATAATTTTATGCATAATTACATTCTTAAAATTAAGATATTCTATATAGAAAAAAATGTATTTAAAATAAAATCATACTACAAAATAATTTTTTAATATTTAATATTTTATTTTATTTCCAATTTTATGACAATTTATTTTTGGTTTATGTTATTATTTTTTTGTAAACAGTGATTAATACAACTTAAATCTTTGTTTTAATTAAAAAAATATTATCATTGTCTACTTATTTATAATTATAAATGTAATGCTAAAGCAATTTCAGATATATTTAATTGGTTGATAAAACGAATTTTAGAGAATTATTTGGACCTTCATTTCAATCCGCAGAAAAATTGTGCTGAATTGTTAATATATGATAATTAATTGACATTTGTAGATCATACAAGTTACTTTCAAAGATGGACTTTAAAAAATTTGCAAATTTCCAAAATGTCAAATAATATTTAAAACATTTTTTGCTCTTATATTCAAAAAGCAATAGAGATTTTGTCGACTATATAAATTTACTGTTTCGCTTTCGACACGAATGGAATTAGAAAAAAATCCATCAAAAGTGGCGAATGAAGGAGATTAAAAACGCACTCTCTTTGAAGCTTTTTTTTTTATTAAAACGACTAAAAGCATAAATACTATGCGTTGCTCTTTCGAAAAGGAATGCATTAGTCGTCATTAAAGTTGCATGTTAATATTAATGGTGGCTGTCAACAAAATAAAAGAGAGACGTCAGTCTCCTGAGGCATAAAATATTCACTTCTATTATTCTGCATCGCATTTTATGTATTGACCTCAAACAAACCACCAAGAGTAAGTAATTAAGTTTTATGCACGAACGTAAAATAAGTTTCAGCGGGGGAAAATATTGCAGCGCTCTCTGCCACCACTGCTGTGTGTGTTACATAATTAAGACATAGGGCGCCGCGCGGTGAACAGCAAGGGCGCTCTAAGCCCGCGTGTTTTTTCCGCTCTTTCATAATAGCACCTTTGGCCATGCCATAATTCTCTCGAATGAATATTTTGTACTGCAGCCACGTTAACGAGGCGGCAAAGCCTGTTTTTCATCATGACGGCTTTGTAAATTTTTCATTTTTTCTTTCTAGGTCGGTTTAGTTAATTAACTATTTTTACTCAAACAAGAATTTGGTCTATTTAGTCTGAAATTACAGCATTAATCTACAGTAAATTTTGTCTTTTAATTAATAAAAATAAAAATTTCAATGAAAAATTTACAGTTTTGAGTAGCATATATAAAATTAATTTTATTTTGAAGAAACAAAATCCAGCTTCCTCGGCAAAGATGAAAGATGAGCAACTTTATTGTTTCTGCATGATAAAAAAAATACCTGATTTACTAGTTTTGGTGGCGGCTTAAGGTTTTGAAATAAAATAATCTGACATTTAACAAATTTTAAGGGAGTTTTTGAAAAAAATTAACATAAAAATTAAATAAATAAATAAGAAACAATATTTTCTAAAAAATTGAAACCGGGCGAACCTCGTTGCAAAGAAAAAAATGAAAAAATAAAAGACAACTGACCCCAAAGGCGACCTGCGGTCTGCTGGTACTTTAAAAACCTAGGATTTCTTGTGTCCGACTCCGACTAAAACTAAGTGGGAGGAATTAATAAAAAAAAAAAATAAAATGGGAGAATTTAATTTTAATAAACAAAAATTGCAGAAATTTACAATATTTTCTCTTTAGTTTTTAAAAATATTCAAATAAATTTCGTTTAAAAATTAAATGAAGTTTACATAAAAGCCATTTTCAAGATGTCAAGGTTTTTTTTCTTTTTTCACTATTATGTTCATCATGTTCAAATGCTAATAGGGATTTAAACACAAAAGTTGGTTTATCGGTTTCAGACTGAGGGCAACTTAATTTACCTGTTTCGCTTTCCACTTGAATGGAAATAAAAATATTTATCAAAAGTGGGTCTAAAAGCGAAATCTCTTTGAAGCTTTTTCTTATTAAAACGACTGTATATTTAATACAGAATTTTGGAATTAATTAATTTTTAAGAGTAAAATGAAATTAATTAACAGATTAAAATGAAACTTTCCTATTTTATTTGCAGAGTCTTGTTATTTAAGCGCCTGCCTGAAGTTATAGTGATAAAATTAGCATATCCGAAGTAATGGCCGGCGCCTTAATGATTGTTTGTGCAGGAATATTGCAAGATATAAAATTTGAATGCGCCACTCTTGGGGTCAAAAATAGCTACGGGTCGTTTTGCGACTCACCTGAAATGAGTTTAGTGCCGACAACCTCCCAGTTGGAGCCGTTGTTGTAAATGGTGAAAGGGCTGAGCGTGGTGAATTTATTATCACGCAAATCCAGCGAGAGGATGGGAACACGTTCGAGCGCGGAGAACACGCCGGCCGGCAATTCCTCCACTTGGGTGCCGCGTATCTGCAGGGCCAATGCGTAGTTTTCCTCAACTCCCTCGAAGGCGTCGGGACTGATAAGCTTCAAATTGGAGCCGGTGATCTCGATTTCTTGCAACTTTGGCGAAAAAGCGCCCAGCAGTTGGTCGGCGAGGATTGGCTCGTGGACTCGGACGGCCAGTTTCTGCAGGGCGGCCACCGCGGACAAGACGCCACCTAACCGGAAGCGGTACTTTTCGATTTGGGGCCACGTCTGGATTCTCAGGGAGGCCAAAAGTTTCAGGCGCGTCAACGAATCGGCGTCAAATCGTTCCAGCTTCGGCAGGTCGTCGATGACCAAAGACTGCAGACGATGGAGACCGACAAAACTGTCCTTTGTAATTACTCTAATTGGGTTTTTGGTGATGTCAAGGGTTTTTAGCAGAGACAAGTGGTGCCACGCGTGAGCAGGGACGCTGGTCAGTCTGTTGCTGGAGAGGTAGAGGTGCTGAAGACGACCTAAGCTGTCCATTGTCCCCGCAGGAACATCTTCAATGACGTTTGAGGATAAATTAAGGGAGATGAGCTCTGGAAGTGGAAGGTGCGGCGCCAACCTGAGGCCTGCGTTGGCCAGATTCAAGTGGCGCAGCCTTTGAACGTAGTGGAAAAGCTCCTTGAAATTGGCTCTTTGCAGAGGGTTGCCGCTCATGTCCAGTCTAAGAAGGCCACCGCCAAGGCCTGTGAAGACGTTGTCCGGCAGGATGGTGATCCTGTTTCCGGCCAGGTTGAGCCCGAGCAAGTGAGGCGTGTTTGGGAACATGGTGGCGTCAAGGTGCTCGAGTTGGTTGTGGGAAATGTCCAGGTACCTCAACGAGTTTCCCACTTCGGACAAAGCACTACTTGGCATTACTACGAACTGATTGTTTGAAAGGTCAAGACGCTCGAGCCTGGTGCCGGCGAAGACGTCTCTAGGAAGAGATCTGATGTGATTGTGAGCAAGTGTCAGGGTTCGCAGCTCCGACAAGCTGGAGAGTTGCTCAGACTGGAGCTGCTCAATATGATTGTTGTTCAACTCTAAAATTTGCAGGGACGGTAGTCCGTGGAATGCGTTTCTACGGACACCCTGAATTCCATTGTGAGGCATGGAAAGAACCTGAAGGTGCTCCAGCTTGCCAAAAGCAGAGTCATCCAAGCGCAGAATTTTATTGTAGCCCAAATACAACCTTCTCAAAGAATTGTAAATGCCGTGCAAAAAGTTGATCGGAACTTCTGGCACACGGTTGTGAGTCAGGTCAAGAACCTTCAGATACACTTGGCCTCCAGAGTCACCAGGAAACAAGCCTGTAATTTGATTGTGGGACAAGTTCAGCACCATTGAATTGTACGGCGAAGTGACATTGTAAAGGCAACCTAGCGAAAACTCTTTCAGTTCGTTAAGCTGCAGCTTCAGTCTCCCCAGGGTGGGCAGCGACAAGAAGGCTTTAGGCGAAATGACAGACAGCCGGTTGTCTGACAGCTCCAGCGTGACCAAAGCGTTGAGTTCAGAAAAAGCACCGGTGCGAATCGTCCTGATTCTATTTCCTGTGAGCACCACTGTTTGAAGGGCAGGCAGGGACGCAAAAGTGCCAGACTCAATTTCCTCCAGGTGATTGTACGAAAGGCGCACGTCAACCAATTGTCTGTGAACGTTGGAGTGGAACAGTTGAGGAGGCAAAAAACGGAACTTGTTGGCTTCGAGGTTCAGGTACTGCAGGTGGCCGAAGGTGTACAGACAGGAGCTGGATATCGTTCGCAGGTTGTTGTTGTCTAGGGCGAGCCAACTGAGGGTGGTGAGGGGCTTCAGCAGCTCCTCTGGAAAATCCTCTCGGTTGAGTCCGAAACTAATTTCAAGGTTGGCCAGGGAGTTGCTCAAATCGATGAACGCATTGTCGTCAATGTCTGTGAGCTGATTGAAGGACAAACTCAACTCTCTCAAACGTGGAGTGTGTTTGAAGGCGTGTGCTTGCAAATTTACTATTCTATTATTTATAAGTAAAAGGGTTTCCAAACTGCCTCCCCAGCCCATCAGGTCGTCGTCCTGAATTTCTGATATTTGGTTGTAGCCGAGATTCAAATGCGCCAAACGCCTGCAGCCCTTTAGGGCGTCGCGAGGAATGGAAGTCAGTTGGTTTCCGGATAAGGAAATTGCTTTCAGAGAAGCGGCAAAGCCATCAAACGAATCTTCAGGAATTTCTTTTAATTTATTGGCGGCCAGGTACAAATATCTGAGTTTTTTCAGCTGGGCCAGGGCCTTCGGAACTTTTTCCAAAAGGTTGTGGTCGAGGTCAAGGTACTCCAGGGTATGGCTGAGTCCCACAAACGTTCTATCATCCATTTCCTCCAATCGATTTTTTGACAGAAAAATTCTGCCCGAGTTCAAACCGCGGAACGCCTGGGCTGGAAGTGTCCGCAAATAATTAAAATCGAGATTCAAATCTCGGACGACCATGGAGCCGTTGAACAGATTTTGCGGCACCGTGCGCAGGAAGTTTTCGCCCAGGTCGAGTTTGTCAACGCGTTTCTTGTGTCGGAAAGTGTACTCGGGCAGCTCTTCCAAGTAATTGCCTCGCAGGTAGAGCCAGCCGAGATTATTGAGCTCGTCAACGGCCTGGGAGGGAAAGCGGGTGATTAAATTGTGCGACGCACTTAGCGTTTGCAGGCTTTTAGGCAGCGCGCCGGGATGGATGGTTGATAATCTGTTGTACTCCAGGTCGAGCCACGTGAGGTGGCGGAACTTGGAGAGCGCGTTTTTCGGCAGATCGGTGATGTCGTTTTTGCCGAGCAGGAGATTCGTCAGCGTCTCCTGCAAGTAGAGTGACCAACCGCCGCTGCCGTTGTCGTCTCGATCAGTCAGTGACGATATGTGGTTGCTGAAACATAAAATTCACAGTGAGATAATATATTGATTTTATATGCATGCGAAACGATATAGAAGGGATGGCGTGACACTGTAATCTATCGCGCGCCATAAACGTTAATAACCGACGGCGGTGATCGTATAGTATGTTAATTAAATGTTGTCTCTGTAATCATGCCTAACTATATGTGTGTGGTGGATGGATTTGGGTTAGGAAAAGTTTGTTCAGTTCGACATTAAAGCCGAGCATAATAACAAGTCGACGGCAAATTTTGCTCGGAATAATCACAAAGGGACGAAAGGGAGGTTTAAATAAAACGAGAGAGAGAGAGTTAATTCCACATACGTACATGTACGCATTCATATGGATTTTCCGTTTTAATTCGCCCGTTTCGCTGTCGCTGCTGAAGCAAGTAAGTCTTCCCCATGAATGCGAAATTCATTGAATATTCAGATCCGCGACGAGAGAGAGAGAAAGTCGGTTCAGAAATATAAGCTAATTTCGGCGTCGGACTGTCTGAGATAATTCTAGCGGCTTATTTGAACCGAGTGGAAAACGTTTCCGAGAACGGCCTTGGGCAATAGTCGTTTCCAATAATGCTGCATAATGAGACGTGCGGTGCTGCGACGAGATACGCACTCGGGTCATACTCGCACATGCCTGCATAGTATAATCTACTTAATACGCGAAACAAGGGCGCAATATTCACCCTCTTGCCTCTCTCGCATGTGTGTGTTTATCACCGTAAACGCGCCGAGTTGCGACGAGAGATCGTAAATGAAAGATCGTTTTAACTTTGAGAACAATTTTGTGGATATTGCCAGTGGAACATAATCAGCTCGCTGCGGATTAACGTAAATAAATTTGTTTCGGATCACAAAATTTAAAAACTTTGTTTTCAGAATTATCTAAATTAGAAATCACAAAATTTAAGAGCCTAATCAAATTTTATTATGTGAAATTAACCCCTAAACTTTGCCTTTATATTGATAGGTGGAAAATATTTCGGTCGCTTTATCGACAAAAACTTCCCAGCAAACTATTAACTTGGCTGATTTGTTATTTTTACGGCACTAATTGAATGGAATGCAGCGTTTCACGATGAGAGTTTTATGGCGCCATTCAAAATATACATTCGTGTCTTGGCGCCATAAAATAATTCCCCCCTAACATAAAACAGGAAAGGTGGCCCCACAATCATCATCACGGCAGTTTCATCGGCAGCGGGGCAGGGAAATAATAATTTTGCGTTTAAGACTGTGTTACGTGAACAAGGACTGTAAAAAATGTGACTGGAAATAATAAAAAAAACGCCACGACAACATCATAAACGTGTGCGTAGCTCGAGCCGGTCGTAAGCGGGCTTTTGTGTGTGGGGGGCGACCACGTGAATTACTTATTTTGTTTCCAAGAAGTTACTTCCGAGCAAAACTTTATTGGCTCCCAATTTATTGGCTTTTCCTCTTTCACTTTTAACTTCTAAATGTACGCTCATTTCATGCTGAAGGTAAAGTTTTTACAAATAAGGAAAACAAGAAGATAAATATTTGCTAATCAGAAATGTTTATTCATTAAATAGCTAATTAAGTATTTTAGTTTTTTGATGAAAAATTTTTTTTTTGTAGAATTGGGGGTTAAAATTTTACAGCTACAGTTTGAAATTTTTGTCTGAAATTTTAATTTTGATTGTTTTATAAAAATACCTCAATTTCTTAAAAAAAACCTTTAAAAAAGTTAAATTTAATAATCAATACATTTAAATATTAACATTAAGTGACATTAAGGAGATATTTACAAGCCAAATTTTAAATAAGTAAGCTATTTTATTATCTTTTCCTGGTGCAATTTTAGTAAATGAATTAAATATTTGGTATCATTATCTCATTTTTTAATTTAATTTTTATACTTTTGATTGTGTTCCAAAAAGATACTTATCAAAACCCTGTAAGGTGTGTAATTCAGTTGCCCGGAGAGCACGTACGTCGTGCAGGTTGCATATCTCAAAAAATTATTATGTTAGTTAGCGTTCATCTGATTTCAACTTGATGTAGTTTTATTTTGTGAAACTCAACTAGCTGGTGATTATTTAAACGTACTTGAAACAATCTAAATTCATAATCTGCCGACTGGAGTTGTGCTTGCGAGTGCTGTTGAGCAGCCGTTTAGACTCTCCGCACTCTCGCATATTTAGATAACGCGCGCGGTACGTACATTTGTCATACGCACGGCGTTGACGTTCGCCTCTGTCAACACAGGAGAACGACAAACACTGCACACAGGCAAACATGCGTACCAACACGCAAGTGTGTGACAAAAAGCCTCTCCGTGCATAATCAGATAAATACGAACGAATTCCCGCAACCTGCCCATTCAACACCGCGGCGATTTTAATGAAAAGTATAAATTTTAATCAGCCCTCGCGCTAATTACGCTCGAGGGGCGTTTTTCATTTAAAAGCAGCATTCCGGCCGCCGCTAATTCATCAGACTTAATCTCGGTTTCGGTGCTAACGGCCCGCGTGTGTGTGCGCGCCAAAATTTCAGCCCATAAAAATAACGATGAAAAATCTAGTCGCCGTGCGGCGGATTTTTTCCTCCGCTTTCTTTTTTTTACAGATGTGCTTGAATTAATGAAGATGGACGTTCTGCCGATCGATCGGCTGATTAAAAATTAATCTCCTCGGAGTGGGTCTTCATTGGAAAGATCTATCTGACTCAATAATTTCGCAGCGAGGGTTTGGGAAAAAAATAATGATGAAACTCACCCGACCAGGTTGATCCAATCTAACGAGCGAACGGGACGCAGAGCCTCAAACGGAACGTGGTCCAGCTCGTTGTAACTCAGATCCAGTGACCTAATCGCGTCCTCCATAGAACTGAAATATAAAAGAGGAAATTTCAAAAATTTGAAATGGTTCAAAAAAATTTATGCATTACATTCATATTTCATATTTACAACGAAATAGTTCAAAACGAAAGCATAAAACATACATCATGTTGTAATTCGAAATTAATTTGGGAGAGATTTTAAATAAATAATATTATTTGAAATAATCAATTTTGTGTGTTTTTGAATAATTTAAAATCTAATTAGCGCCAAGTGTCAAAATGTGGTTCAATCGTTGTGAATTATAGAGATTCCTTATCCTTTTAACTAATTGCAAGAAATCTTGGCAAAAATTTTACGTTTCCAGGGAACCGTTCCTTGTGTGTTTTTGGTGTGCGAGTAAAAAGCAAAGTTTAGAGCCATGTTTGACTTTTACATTCAATTTCCGCCAACTTCCATCTCAGACTGATCAATTATCGATCAGCACGAGATCTGCACATCCCGCTTCCTCTTTTCCGCGCCGCGCCACTGCTTCCCAATAAGCAAATGCAAAATCTCATTTTGGAGAGTCCCCGTCGGGAGCTAAGCTCGAATTTCGTAAAAGCAGGTACTTCTCATTTCTGGGGCGGAAAATACATTTTCACTGTTTTCTCTCTCCGACAGAGGCTAAAGTCGGTCCGTGTTTATCCGTTCGCCTTTGATGAATTCGCAGCCGTTGAATGGGGATGAAAGCAGATGGAATTAGTTGAAGCGTCAAACACTCTCCAAGTTTCCACGACGTCAATATCATTCAAGAGAAGAGACCATTATTTGCTATTCCTGTCTCGATAAGCAGGAGTGAAATTATTGAAATTTATTTCTGGTCTAGATATGAAAAAAAAAAAACTTCAGATTTGCACTTTTGAATTCAATAAATTAATTAAAGCCCGATCGCTTCATTTCAATAAATTAAATTTAGAAATTCTCTTAATGTGCTAATAAAATATAAATATATACCTGCGTATCAGATCTTTAAAACAAATAATCAATTCATTAACATAGTTCCCAGAACTTAAAATATAAATATATTTTATTAATTATATTTATAATTTAATGTAAAATTTTACAGTTTTACTTAATTAATGATACAGTTATAATATTAAAATCATACATGGGCAGAGCGCACTTTGCGCTCTGCGATCTGCGCTCGCGCTCTGCGCTCATGAGCGCGAGCGCGGAGCGCGATCGCACGATTTTCAAAATCGTGAGCGCGAGCGCAGAGCGCGAGCGCATTGGTCGCTGAGCGCAGCGCTCAATTGCGCTCATTTTGCGCTCAAACCAAGAGTAAAAATTCCCCAATTTGATCAAAAATTGTAATGAAAAACAGTGTTTTTATACCAAAAACTTAAAACTGATCTTACTGATCCCAATTTTGGTGATTAAACTTCAACTTTATCATTTCCAATTGCCGATGTATTTTTTGTTATATTAAAAAATTGTCTAAAAAGTCGCACTTTTTCCTCGGATAAAAATATTTTTGAGCGCAACGCGTGAGCGCAAGACTTTTTAAAAATTTGAGCGCGAGCGCAGAGCGCGAGCGCAACATTTTCAAAATCTTGATCGCGAGCGCAGAGCGCGAGCGCACTGTTGCCAGTGATCGCGAGCGCGAGCGCGAGCGCAAAATTGTTGAGCGCACCCATGTATGATTAAAATACATTAATTATTTTCCCACATTTAGCATTTTTTTTAAATCCTTTTTAAAATTATGGCATAATTAAAAGAGCTGCCGGACTTATTTAAAAAAAATATATATATATAAATAACCAGCGTACCAAAAAGTGTGTTAGAATTCTTGCAGATAAAAATTAGATCTTTTCTTAGACCAGGTATTTGATGTTATGTTTATTAAAAATTTAATTAAGCCATATTCTTCACATTTAATTTGGTAAAGTTTAATTTTCACAATTTGAAATAACAGTAAAAAATATACTATAAAAACAAGTTTAAATCTTCATTAAAAGTAATGGATGCCAGTACCAAAAGATTCATTCATCGAAATGAGTAGTTGTAAAAATTGCAAGCGTGATTCCATTTCGGATGTATTATTTGCGCAAACGAAGGCCATTTTTGTGAAAGGAATCAGATGCACGCACCATTTTGGCCATAACGTCGTCGGGCGCAAAAACAGATGATGAAGTCATAAAATCTAATACATCTCGCCGGTGCGACTGGAAGCGGGGGTGACACTTGCACTCGCTCTCAAAGTGCACAACAGCCAGATTTACGGCTGATTATCGTCGTCTGTCACATCGCCGCGCCATCATCATCATCATCTGCGTGCCCATTCAATTTTATCCCCGTCTGCACACTTTTGTTTTTATTTCATTCTCCGGCCATGAAAACGCAGCTCGCTCGCGAGAATAACAAGAGCTTGTTTTCGCTTCTGTCGGAATCCAAGCTGCTTTTTGTTGATCTCCAGGGCACAGATGTGTGGGAGAAAGAGGAGCTTTTACGTGTGTACATCTGCATATATACGTACTAAAAAGTACGTCGGGCTCCACAAATCACTGCGCACGGAGTGAAAGTTTTCAGCCCGGAGCGTCGCTCTTTTTCTTGGCACGTGTTGGAATGGGCGAACCAGTTGCTTCGATTCGCTGCAGGCTGCCAGCTTTTGTGTGTGCGCGAGAGAGGGAAAGAGCTGAAAGTTTTAATTATCCGTTAATTTCGTCGGTCTGCTGCTGTTGAGTCTTTTGCGTGGCGAATCTCATGGCATGAGACTAATTTCCGTCAACGGATAATCTACTTCAACTTTATATATAATGAAGGGAAATTTCCAGCTTTTGAAATATTTTTCTCAATAAAAAAAAAAACTTTTACTGGGGTTATAGATATTTCCTAATTATTATGAAGAAATAATCATTTGAGCGAATAAATTTATATTGATTGTTTTCAACAACTGAGTCATATTCCCAGCATTGATTACTCTCTTAAGATCAAAACGTTCAGAACCAATTGGAATAATCTCAAATTTTTTATTTTCTATACAATTTATTCTTTTCATATTGTTAGCCTTTCGTTTAGAACAATTTAAGTAATTTTAAATTTTCTGACTCCAAATTAATAATAATTTTAAGTAGTAGAAATACAATTAGAAAGTTGTCAATATTCATAACCATGTTTAATTATATTATAATATATTTGAAATAATTAAAGCCGTCAAAATACAATTTATGCATCAAAATTTGTTTATTGTTAGAAAAAATTGCTTGCATTTAATTTGATATAAATCTCATTGAAGATATTAATTTAACAATTTGTAAAGCTTTTTAACATGTATTTAATTAAAAGAAAACAATTTTTAAATAAAATTAATTTTTTGGACAAGCGTGAATTTTATTCTTAATCTTAAAAAATGAACTTTAATGTGATTTTCCGTTTTTAAATATTAATATAAGAGCTGGAAGGCCTATAAAAATTGATTCCCAACCCGCACCCTTTAGATTGCCAGAAATAGCAGAATTAAAGCTAATTTTTTTTGTCTTAAAAAAAGAAGATTTCAAAGAACTATTTTGACACTAGCAATCTAGTTAGGGAGTTTAAAGTTTACCTTTAGATCTGAAAATTTCAATATATTATGCTTTTTTTGTAAGATGTTATAATTGAAATGCAACTTATTTAATTGAGAATAAATAACAAATAAAGTAAATTAAGAAGTCGGGATTGTCCTCATTGTAAAATTGTTTCAATTGGAAATAATTGAATAAAAACTATTCTTACAAGGAGGACAAGCCCGACTTCTTCATTTTCATGATCAACTCCTCGAGTGTCAATTTCTTCAAAGAAATAATATAAGTAAAATTAATATTTCATTATTTTACAAAAAACATAAACCAGTACTTTAATCTTTTATTAAATTAAGGTTTTAAATTATTAATTTCCATTGTAATTTTTCTTTCTTACGCCTGAATAAATCAGAAGAGGAATTAAACTTCGACCTTTGATAGTTTCCTCTAATTGGTCTGTTAAAAACGTTGTAACGCTAATTAGCGTGGGTGAATTTCTGGGAAGTTAATGAACCGCACTCAATGAGCACCGGTTATTAAAAATCTACCTCTTTTGATCGGCGCCGTTCTTTTCACCGTGTTGGCGATCGTTCTGGTGAATTTCTCTTTTTACCAAAGGCGACCTTTTCCGCCGCATCCACTCGAGTGGAGACGGGAATGAATTTTATCGCCAACAAAAGCTGCCTGCTTTCAACCTCTCTCTGTACTTTTGTTTGAATCTCGTGCAAATAAGAACGGAAATTCGGACCCGTCTCTAATTACGACCGGGGTTAAATAATTTGAATCTTTCAGCAGCTCGGGTCTCGGAAGAGCACACCGAGTTTCTCATCTTGGCAGTTTGCTCGGTGGACCGCAGACGCTACTGATCCAATAATTGCTCGCCCTACCAGCATGACGAGAACGTGTTTCATTTGCAATTATTCGCCCGCGCGCTCACTTATTGACACAGCCCTTTGTGCCGCTTAAGGCGATGAAATTCGATGCATGGCGGCTTCTTTTGATGTTTTCGTGGCTGCGGGACGAATCGGGAAATCGAAAACCAGGATTGCGGAAATCCTCTCAATTTGATTCTTGGCGATAATTAAATTTTAAATGGATAGACTGTTAAAGTTTTTTTTCTGAAATTAAAAAAAAAAAAGCTCAAATTTTCATTGTAAAAGGGTTGATAAGTCACCTCTATCGACAAATTTTGCCTTAATTCTGCTTACAAGCTGGATCAAATAAATGTATATTGAAATATTTAATGAAGCTAGTTATTTAAAAGGTCATTCGTATATAATTAAAAAAAAAAACAAAAACTGTCACAAGATTTTTGTTTCTAATTATAATATCTACAATTTTTTTTGTCAAAGAGTAAATAATATTTATAAGATACTAAAAATAATTTATAGTAACAGTTCAAAGTGACCAGAATTTTGAATTGTAAAAAAAAATGTTGAAGTTTCGTTTTTAATTAAAAAAAAAATTAGTAAAATTAAATCTTTTTTTATTAATAAATATAAATATCCATAAAAAAATTCTTGATGATGAAATTCTTTATAAATAAATAATTACAATAAACTTATTTATAAAAAAAAAAATTATTGAGAAATACACAAATATCTCCTCTATAAACATTTTGAAACCACAGACAAACAAAAACATGTTATTTTATTTTCATGATGCACACACGAGCGAGAAATTGAATTTGTTACCTGAAGGCGCGTTCATTGACGTAGACAATTTGATTGCTCATGAGGCGCAATGATTCGATCTGCGCCCCTCCCAGGATCTCGCCGTCGACCGCCTCGAGGCCAGAGTTCACCACGTCCATGTGGTCGACCTGACCGGTGGGCACTTCTGAAACACAGCAGCAGGTTCCGCTTTATGGTCAGCTCGAACACCTTGTAAACGTGATTATCACGCCGCTATTAATATGATATGATAGGTTCCTGTCTTCAGATAATTAAATCATGAATGGTATATTAAATATTAAATTCTTTAAATCGAGATTCCATTTGGTTGTTGGAAAGTATGAGCAATGTATTTTGTAATAAACTGTTATTTACACTATTTTTAATATTTTGACGCTATTACAATTACTTCAGCACATAATACTGCTTCATTCAATTTTCACAATTCTGTTATAAAAGCTTAGAAGTTGAAAGAAATTTATTATATTTTTTTATATAATATTATAAAAAAAATTAAAATTTTCATAAGAGCAAAATATTATTATTCAAATATAAAGTTTAATGCAAGAAATATAAAATTTATGTTACAAAGATTAAATTAAAAATAAATCAAGAATTAAAAATCTTGTTATAAGACAAATGTAGCTTCCAAAATTTTATTATAAATATATATTTTATTATTTTTGCAATTTATAAAAAGTATTTTATGGCTAGCAAAGTAGCCCAACTAGCAAGGATTTTAAAACCAGTTGAAGGGGTTTCAAAAAAAGGACTATTGAAAAAGCATAGAGAAATTGGCTTGAATCATAGCACGAAATCTGAAGAAAAAAACGTTAGAACTCCTCACTTTCATTTAGATTTCTTCATTTTGCATCTGTTAAATCAAAATATCAACTATACAAAACTTAAAAAAAGAATAATTTTTCATTGCAAGTAGTGTAAAAATTTTCCTTTTAGTCTCCATTTTTTTTTTCATTCAAAATCTTTTAATAAAATAACACAATAATGTTATTAACAAATATAAATCATATATGTAAAGTGGAAATTTCCTCTGTTTCAATAATAATTAATGTATAATTTTTATGTTTTTGTTATCATATTACTTCAAAAGCAGTTTTAATTTAATTCAAACCTTGCAAGTATAAAATTGCTGCCGACCGCAATAAAACAAGAATGGAAGGGGAAGCGTTACCAAAATTGGTCTGATATGCTAATAAGAGGAATTTAAATAATTGCAGAGAGAAGCGTTGTGGTGCACCTCAGTGTAGAGCAACATGTACGTTAATTCGCGTGCCACTTTTTTCGCGACCGCAACAAACACGACCGACGCCCTCGCTCTTTGTTTTTTGGAAAACATTCATTTTTGCTTGGCTCGGACAAAAATAATATTATCCTTTCGCTATTTTTGCGCTCAGATTGTGGCACTGTTTGTTTTTTGTATTTAAGAGCATCTCTCTCTATTCGAACAAAAAAGGAGTCCAGAAAATTATACAGGAGCACATTTTATTTTACACAAATATAAAAGTTTTTTGCTTCATTTGTGAGTTTGAATTTGAGCTGCAAAAAGAGTTTCACCGTTCCAATGTTTATTTACCATTAGCCGGTTTCCCGACGCGATATTCCAAAATGTCAAATCGTACTGGAAAAAGTTTTGCCAACCACACACTATTTGCTTTTGAACGAAATTTTACAGTTCGTCACTGACAAAAGTAGACAAAATGTGCTACATATATTTTCATAACTACAAACGCGCTTGAAGGGATATTTGTGCGGCACGTGTGCTTTGTAAAATATAACATTATTTTATGAAATTTCATACAGGATTCGTTAAAAATCTGCATTGAATTATTAATGATATTATTTTTGTTATTGTATCACTTTTATTGTCAGAATTATCTGAATACATTATTAAATACATAATACAAACAATTAATTTTATTTTAAATATTTAATGATATGATCATAATGCTTACTCGATATGATTTTCTGCCCGGAATTTATTGTTATTTCAAAAATAATTACTTTCCCATATCTGATTTTTATTAAAAGTCTTACAAAAAATCATGGTTGGCACAGGGCTTTGTTTTTAATATTGTCTGGAAGTTCATTAAAATAAATGTTGTTCTGATTGAAAATTACTTGAGATGATCCTTAAAATATGCAATTTTAAAATTGTATCATTCTTTCAATTCTAATTTTGAAAACTATTAAAAAATTAATAAAAACTTGATATTTTTTTACCTGGCAGAGTGGCAAAAGGGACACCGACGCAGCTGATGTCCTTGATGTTTTCTAAGGTTTTGGGTGTCGTGAAGTGGATGGTGAGCGGCGAGGCGCCGAACTTGCAGGAGCACATCGAGTTGAAGGGACAGGGCGCGACCACCTGCGAGGCGACGCCGCTCCACAGCGTCGACAGCACCAGGAGCCACCACATCACCCTGCTCCTGGCGCGAATTTCGCCGCCCATCTGCAACACAACAAGTAAAATTGATTTAATACAAGTGAAATATTGTTTTACTTTAAAATGAAATAATTAAAATCAACTGGACAAACATGGTCAAAGGGTTAAATGAGCTAAATTTCATAGAAAATTATGTAATTTTTTATTATTTAAATTATATTATATTATTTTGATTTTGTTCCAGGTGAGCAGTTTTAATCAGAAAAAAATTTCAATTAATATCAAATTTCACCATTTAAAAGTTAAGTATACATTATTTTACTCTAAAAAATCATTTACCCAGGGCATTTTTTTTTGCCAATTTTTGATATAAAGAGCGAAAAACAAGATCAAAAGCTTCAATATGAGACTTTTTCAATGAAAAAATACTTTGTTAAGAAGTTTTTTTTATCAGTGCGCACTATGCTATGCCGTTAAAATTTTAGAATTAAAATAAAATTAGAATCAATTAGAATATAGGTTATATTTATTTATTATTTTTTTTACTCTAATCATACAATTTGAATAGAAATTAAAAAAGGCTTTTCTTTGCTTCAAATTATCTTTGATTGGAATTTTCCGACGCAGCCAAATACGTAAGCCTAGAAACTCTTGGGAAAATGGAATTTGACACAACCATTCTTTAATTACGTAGTAGATTTTCACGATCGAGAGTTGATTCGTGTTGATTTGAATTTAAAGTCGGCTTTTCCTTGATGGGTTTTGTGAGTCTTCTCTCGACCACCAACGAAAAAGCTCGTAAATTATGGCTGCAGCCGAAACGTGTAGAGCAGGATATTGTTTTTCTTAAACAATAAACAACTCACAAAACCCATCGAGGAAAAGCCGACTTTAAATTCAAATCACAATTAACACAACCAGTTCAGATTTGAGCATTTTTACATAACTTTTTTAATTAATTTGATCATTTTGTTTGAAATTGTATTTTTCTTTTCAAATTTGCCATTTTTCTTAAATACTCATGAACTATTGTTGTAATTTTTCTCATCGTGAAGTATAATTTTCAATGCGAGATGAAAAGAAAATAAGCATCAAGATCTCGTCCCGAAGCGGAGAACATTTGAATAATAGCAGGGGTAATTCTTTAAGCTCTCCTTTTTCTCATTTCGCGAGATGAATGGAGGCGGTGATAAAGTATGCATCTGTCTTTCATTTGTCCAAGTGAATGCGGCGCCCGCGGGCCCCGCGCTTAATCAATTGCTTTTGTGCACACGTGGCGGCGCGGCTAGGAAGGCAGCCAGGTGGATCACGATGATGAGTTCGCCAACATCATTCACGGTCGCGCAGCCTGCAAATTGCAATCAAGTATGCAAATGAGTCACCGGCTAAAAACGGCTGCAGTTTACTGCATGTCATATCACCATCAGCTCACTTGGTGTGTTGAGTGAGCTTTTTTTTCAAACTGCCACCGGAGCCGATGAATAATGCATAGCTGCATTTTACGATGCACGAATGTCACGAGTTTATATGTATTGAAGCCGTTGCTGTGTGTCTCGTTTAATTTGGTTCCTTTTTATATTGTACGTCGCGCGGCGCAAAAAGTTACCGAGTTCATGCATATTGTATATAATTTTTCTTTTTGCTCTCTGTGTGTTCAAATCGGTCGCCTCCGCATCGATATTCAGCAAGAAGTACTCTTTGTACCTCTCCGTGTGAGTTTAGAATTTCAAAACAGACACGGAATTTGCATGATTATAGCTGGTCTGTAGGAATTCAACACGGAGATGTTCATTTAGATTTTGTTCGACTGGAATTCTGAATAGTAATCAAAAGCAGCGTCACTTAGCGTTGGGAAGAACAAATTGTAAGGAATAATGATTATTGGGACGTTGTTATCATTTTTTACTTAAATGCAGTATTTTCTCAGCATTTAAAAGTATTTTTCCAGTTTAAATAATGAAAACAGAAGATGAACAGAAATCAATGATACGATAAAATCTAGTAATATTCAATATTATATTCTTTACACGTTTGTTAAATTATATTCAGAGTAATAATAGTGGCTACATGGGAAGGATCAAAATATAACACAATTTTTAAAGACACTTTACAATTAGCATGTGATGTGTGTCCTGTTAAGTTGAATTATCTCAATTTTCTAATCATCCAGCTTCATGTGCCTCAGATTAAAAAGCATGATTTTTTTCAAAGGAGAAGAATAAATAATATGTAATAATAATTATATCCTAAATTTTTTGAACACTGATTCGACATTTAAAGCCAACAGCCAACACAACAAGATCGACAGATAACTTACATCTTTTTTATCTTTATTAGTTTTCTTTGAACAAAAAATTTTAAAATAGAATAAAAAAATTAAATATTATTCATTTAGTTATGAAAAGTGATTTAAAAATTAAATAATTCAATATTTTGAGACAAAAATAAACGATAAATTTTATATATAATGAAATTTAATTTTTAAAAATGTTAAAATGAAAGTTTTAAATAAAATCTAAAATCAATTTATTATAAATAATTATTATTAAAAAATAAAATTTAGTGTAAATAAATTAAAATATATTTTGTACATTTAATTATAATGTTTAGGCTCGACAATGTTTGTAATATCAATAAATGAGAATCTCAATTTGATTTATATTTGCTTTACTTTTGGTTCCAAGCGTCAAATGGATAAAATTTATTTGTTATTTTTTGTAATATTATTTGCCAGTTTTGATGCAATAGGATTCAAAATATTAAACAAGTCAGTTATCTTGTTATCTACATTCCAATTTCTTGACTCATTTATCCGGTCTAACGCAATTAAAACTTATTTCAAGACATTTTTTTGTTTTTATTAATTAAATTTTATCTAAAATATTATCCACCACATTTAATCTGCCAAAAGTTTTAATAGAGTAAAATAGAATCAGATTTGTACAATCAAATTCCCCCGCCACTTGCTCCCTTTGAAAGCCACAAAACGACACAAATCGTCCCTAGCCGTTTTCTTGTGCCCAAGTCGAGGGTTGTCCCTTGCAAGAAAATTGCAGCTCGACCGTTTTGCTCCCCTTGTAAAAATAAACGGCGACGTTTGTGTGTTTATTCTGCAGCGAATCCCCTGCACTGTGCGCGAGGACGTGGACCGCAAACGCTCTGTGGTGATAATTAATTTACTTTGGCTGCTGACAAATTTTCGCTCCCCTGCTGCAAAACAGCAAAACACGACGTTTTTTTTATCGGATGGAGAAAAGCGTAACACATTTACAAGAACCCATGGTTCCGTGAAAATTGGAAATGATGATGGAAGCGAAAATAAAGCCAACATCAACACATTTGGTCGCCTACGGACGTGTGACCCGCCATCAAATATGGGTCCGGAAATTGGAGCAAAAGTAATTAATCAAAAAGTATCAAACATAATCTATCTTAATTCTCTTCTTTACTAATTATAAATGTTTTAAATGTGACCGAAAAGTATTGAAATGAGAGTAAACCTTTATCAAGATGGGCTAAAATTAGTAATTAAAATAACAAGATGGACAATTTTTATATCGCGACAAAAAATTTTGATTCTTTGGTAATTAATAACAAGACTACAACGTAAAAATGCGAAATTTTCTGATATTTATATTAGATAAAATAATAAAATATAAATTCAATCACATAATTTAGTATTAAAATCTAATTAATTGATGACCTTGTTTTCTTTTTGCCCTAAAGAATAAACGATTTTTTTTCCAATAATTGTTCCCACACAGAAATTATTTAAAAAAAATATATAATTTATTTCTAAAAACCATTCAATTTCCTAACCAGACTTTGCAGGATGACAAATGGAGCAAAATAAGTTGGCCGACAATGCAGAAATATGCTGAGGAACTTTTCGCAAAAATAAAACAATACAACTTTGCCGAGCGCCACGGAATAAGCCGAGCGTGCAGAAGTTTGTCGTAAATTAAAACTTTCCGAAGGCGTCTTTTCCGCTCTCGCTCTATCGCTAGAGTAGTTAGCGAGTGCTCGTGGCTTTTTAAAGGCGACAGACCATGCACGCGGCCCATAAGCTTCTCTCTCTCGTCCTGCACCAATGGCCAACAATAAACACAAGACGTGGGCCAAATTTTAACTCGCTCATTTTACGGTCCATAAAGCCCCTAGCATTGTTTGTCCAAACACAGCAGTGTGTGTTGAAAGAGAGGGAAAGCCATCCCTTCGATACACGATTCTGCAAATAAATAATATTACGCTTTCTTACAGAAATAACACAACCTGTATGTGGGTTGAATCACCTTTTTAATTTACTTATTATTTCAGAGAGGAAACAAAAACAGAGGAAAATCTTGTAATTCTTAATTAATTAAAATTGTTCAAAACCAATTATTTTCAGCGGCAAAAAACACTATGGAACGCAAAAAATGCAATATTATGAATTTAAAAATAAAAAATTGCAACCTTTTTTTGCATTTTCAAAGATGGTGATAAACTTTTTTGCTCTTTAACAATGGTTTAAATCACCAGAAACCGGATAATTTTTTTCCAACACTATGAATCGGAAATGAAAAATGTTCATGATCCCATTGTATTTTAAAAATGAATATATAATTAATTAAAATTAATTTTAAAATTAGCACAAGTAGACATGCGATGGAATAACGTTGAATGGCGTCAAATTTTCTGTTTTTGTTCATTTAATTTAGATAAACAGTAGAGAGCAGTGAACAATTTTGAAGATTTGAGAACGTTGTTATTAATATAATATAATTTAGACATAAAATTTAATCATTTTAATTATTATATCCAACTGCCATCTATTATACATGACCCAGAAGATCAACTGTTAACCCAACCAAATGATTAATAGTTTTAATGATGTTAACTTCCATATGGTTCCGTGTCTTTAATATAAATATATATATATAAATTAAATCATATTTTCTATTTTGTTCCCAGTCTTATAATAATATGGTAAGAATTGGGAAAGGATTAAGAAGTAAAAAAAAAATCATTTAATAAAATTCTTAGATATTGTAAAAAATGTTATTATAAAAATTGAATAAACAACA